AGTCTATTCTGGATTGTATCGATCCAGAAATCCAACAAGCAGGATCGATCAGACCCATACGTTTAGGACGTGCTGGATCAGACACTAAAAACTAAAAAACAACCACATTTATCAGAGGGTAGTCCTGGCTTATGATAGAACTAAACGCCAGATGGAACATTACAAAAAATTTAAGCAGAAGTTAACCCAACTTCAGACCTACAATAGGGAGAAAAGCTATCGAATTAAATATTTCAACGGACATCCGAAAATTACGGAGGTGCCCTTTTTTCTTTGGGCATAGAGAGTAAGAAAGAGTGTGTAAATTTAATATTACATACTTATTTATGTGCAAAATGTGCGCAAAATTATGTAATTATGTGGTGTAGTAGAGGGCGGGGTAGTCAAGTAGATATTGACGTTATGAGGTCTTGGCCGTTTTTGACATACGTGTTTCTGACGTAAAGTTAATGAGGTTAGTTACACTTCTTCTTCTGTGTGTTGACACACAGAAGAAGTAAGTAATAAAAAAAAAGTAATAAATCCTTCAATAAGCGAAGTGACGTCACTATTAACGTAAAAATTTGCATAGGGCCGCCGGGCCTGGATAAATAATTAACTAACCGCCTGTACCTTGCCCACTACTATTACTAATTTAATACTCAGCGAAGATAGCCGCATATTACATATCTATATCTATATTTATATTTGGGATAGAAAAATTAGGGAGTTGTGTTACCATTTCGTAGACACTTGTAGCAAATGTTGGACAAGGACTCGTGGTTTTTTCAGAAATTTTGATGGACTTGATTTGATACATCAGGGATGCCCAATAGAAGAAAATTACACTGCTTTTCATAATTTAATTAATTTAATTTAATAATAATTTAATTAATAAATTAAAAAAATGTTTTTATTGTAAATTAATATTCGTAACAAAAAAAAAATTAATATCCAAAGAAAAACCGCGTTATACGCGCGTCGCGTGTTGACGCTAATACACCGTAATATTAAGTGGGTAATTTTTCATTTTTCCCGAGTCCGTGCATTAATTTGTGTCCCGTTACTCAAAAACTTCATCAGCGTCAATCTAACCTAAACCGGAGTGAAGGCTTATATTAGAATTCCGTTGAACGATGTTAACTAATCTACAAACGAAAAAATAAAACAAAATCAACTAGACTAATTTATTTGGAATATGTACTAAAATATATACAAAATAATAAATAAAATACATAATACGAAACAAACTACATATAACGTGCACAACAAGTGTGGCTAATGGAAAATAAGTGTGGTGTGGTAAGGAATGCAATTAATATAACAAAAAAAAAACAAACTGATAACTATATTAAAGAACGAAATGTAAAAAAAAATTAAAACAGACAAACAGGAAGCGTTCCAAAAGTTGAGAAAAAGCGAGCAATTTTTTTACACAACAAAAAAGATTTTTTGAAAGTTTTGTTCCCTTTTTTCTTTTGTTAGATTTAAGAAAAACAATCGGGAAAGTTTTGGAAAACACAACTTTTTTTAAAAAAATCATTTTTTCTCGCTTTTTCTTTATCCCGAGTCATTTTATATTTATATGTGTGGAATATACAGGGCGTTTAATTTCAAATGAGCGAGTAAACAAATATTTAAATTTCTAGCTGTAGTGAGAATAGATCGAAGCATTTTCCGCATATACAGAGTGTCTTACCGTAGATGGAACATTAAGGGCTGAAAATTTGGTCCTTTGTATTGATTTTTTAAACAGGACACTCTGTATATTGTTCCATATTGTTTACAAAAAATGGTGCGATACGAATGGCTCCGGATGTGAAACCGATGTTAGCTGACTGATTTTTTTTTTAATTTCTCATTCTTAAAATTAAATTCTGAATAAGAACACTATATATTCATGAAAAAGGAAACATTTGTTTACAATAAAACAAGGAAAACTCGAGGCAAAAACTAAATGCTGTTCTCTACCATTTAGGGAAAGGAATATTATACGATAAGGACGTAAAATCATAATTTTCAACCATTCTATACATACAGGAAACTAGTGCCCAGGAGTTCAGCAATAACAATTTTAATTCTGTGAATTGGTAAATATAAAAATTAATTAATATTAATATATATTAGGATATATTTTATCAAAATGAAAGGGTCAAGTTGATAAGTACATTAACTTAGGAACTAAATGTTCCAAAAGTTGAGAAAAAACGACCATTTTTTAGAAGTTTTTCACCCAAAAACCATGAGGAGTCGAAACAAAAAAACGCTATTTTTTACATAAATTGATTTTTGGATAAAAAGGAAACCAACAATTTTTTTTTATCAAAATTATGCAAAAGGTGAGAGAAAACAATTTTTTTAAGGTTTCGTTTCCTTTCTTGTATTAAAGAATTCGATTTGTCATATTTAAAACATCAAATTTGTCGCCACGTTTCGATCGATTGATCAGAGTAAAAACAGGCGACCAAACGAATTCCTACCTGCAGTTTACTAAAAACGTACAATGTTCCATCGAACGTGAGACACCTTGTATATATATGTTTTTACGAAACAAAATCTATTTGCGATTTGCAAAACAAATAGCGGGAATATCATCTCACCGCTTAATGCCCGTTTGATTTTGTTAATATTTATCGGGTTATGCACACGTGGAAAATGATGTATGCGTTAATAATGGCCGCCGGGTTGACGTTCCAGGACGCAATTTCAATTTCCGAATGATAATTTATAATATCCAACATCGAAAACGCGTTTGTTATGTCGAGCGGGTATTAACGGATCAAAATCCCCGGGGGTGGGGGTAGGCGTCAATACGCTTTGTTTTGGAACGTTCTAGATATCGCGACGAGTGCTATCGGACGCTAGGCAGACCCAGTTCGACGGGTTTAGTGGCCCATTTTAGAGGTAGAATCGAATTTACAATAAAATAGATTAAAAAACAAACGGAAAAAAAGAACACCTGGTGCAAGGGTCGTTGATAATGTTTTATTAATTAATCCAAGTATCTGGATAACAAGGTGGACGAATATAAAGATATAACGAGCAAAGAAAAATGCTGATGGGGAATTGGAGAGAGAAAATGGGGAAGCTTGGACCAGGAAGGAAAAAACAAGATGCGGCCCCGAAAGTCTTCGAAGAAATCAGAAAAAGCAACCGCCGAAGACGAATCACTCTCCACGACGACCAATCAGTGCAAACAAAGAACTTTTTGAGCATTAAAAACGTCGATGTGATGAACCATCCACCATATAGTCCTGATTTAGCACCTAATGACTTCTTGTTATTCCCGTACATTAAGAATAAATTACGTGGGTAATTTTTGACACCAGAAGAAGCGATTGAAGAGTTTAAAATGCAAGTTTTGGAGGTGCCCCATTCGATGTGGGAAAAGTGCTTCGATGATTGGTTGAAGTGTTATTTTTTGGAAAATTTTTTAATCGATGGAAAAATAGTTACTAATAAGTAACGTTTTTTTTTATTAAATAATTTGTAATAAATAATTCTAAATATTATATATAATTAGCAAGCAAGTTTTTTATTTCAAATGAACCGCCTTTGTATTTTCTATTATGACGAAAGATCTTTTTCTCCTGATTTCAGGAAATATATGGAATAATCCGTTTTTGAGTTATTTAAGTTTAAATTTTTGATTAACTAAACAGAATGCGTTACTCAGAGAAAGGAATGCTACAAGTCTTTTTTTAATCAAACGCATTATGCAGCAATTTAACCTCTTTTTTCCCAGTGGTGCGTTAGTCTATTCTATTCTATTCTATTTTATTCTATGATTTTTTTTTGTCACATCCAGGAAATATTTTTGCACATCCATTTAGAAATTTTATTATTATCATGGACATAAAACCGTAGAAATCGCTAATTTATGTGTAAAGGAAAGGTCTTATATATGACTTCAAAAGTTAACAAAAGCGGTACATAAATTTGTATCACATTTTCAAGTAAATCCGAAATAGTAAAAAAAAAATATTTTGGATTTATATTGTCTATAGCATGTAGATTACATCGCAGAAAACATACATTGGAAAAATTAAATTGATTATACTTTATTTTTTGAAAATATTTACTGGTGCCTGAATGCACCACTGGTTTTATCTGTGAAACAAAACTTTGTTATTCCAAGTCTAGACAAGGCAGCGGAGGTAAAATTAACATCCAACAATTAGCGTGTTCTTTAGTATTAGTTTGTGCCTTGTGCGGTGAACGTTATATGGTAAGGAAATTTGAGATAAGATTAATTAACATGAAAAATTGAGAGAAAAAATAGAGTCAAAAAATATGTGTGGAAATAAAATTCGACCATAACAAATGGTGCAAATGTGTGCATATAATGCAGAAATTTAGTTACACTTTCTATTTTTAGAATGTCGATATCTAAGAAACGGTGATTACTAGGAAACAGACCATTTTCGGAGACGATTTTATGATCTACAATTTATTTAGTTTTTGAAAAAAATTTTGGGTTTTTTACTATGAATGGCTATTTTTATGTCCAATCCTACAAAAAACATATATATTTAATAGAGAAATGGACTCAAAAAACCTTAACAATTTGGACCGAATACGAAAAAGACACGTCAAAGGACTAAATAATTAATAAAATAAATAAAAGTAGCAGTAATTTGAATGGTGCGAATTTTTAACTCGCATTGTTTATTTGTAAGCGGTGTTGCCAATACAGCCAATTTTTCCTCCTCCTATTGGAAATTTTATCCATCTTGAAAATTTTGAAAACGAAAGCTAGAACAGTTTTTTTCAGAAAACATTAGCGTTTCCGTTCGGAAAGTCCAAAAAAAACAATTATTGTTGGTTATTGGTACAACAGCGGCTCTAATTAGAATCACCCTGTATATTCCACGATTCGCTCCTATCGAAGACAACGAGATCTACGAAATACTCGACGAGGTGGGGCGCGGGGACGAGTTCCGACGCCCGAAAGGATGACATCACTACGCCAACGAACGCTAACACAAACACCACACCGATAAAGTAGGAAACCATGTTACCGATTAGCGGACGTACTGGAGGTTTCGTTAAACGTCACCTTCTGCTTCGGGCGCTTCTTGAACCAGCAGAAATACTTCGCGCTGTCGGGAGAGTTCATCGGGGGGGCCAGGGCCGGTCTGAGCCAGTAAATTTGCTCCTCGCCGTCATCGTTGGTCGTTATCGAACCTGAAACGGGAAATACGGTTTTTCCTTTAACGTCCTGTATTTAAATTTGAATGATAGAGTGGAGTAATAGTATATTATGCAACAAGTGCGGCAAACGGCATTTGACTCACGAGCGGAGCGAGTATTTAATAAACGAGTGAGGTAAAAAGTTTACCGCACGTGTTGCATACTATACTTTTTCTACGACCGTTAGTTTTTGCGTACATTTTTGCAAAACACGAATACATTCACTGACATGATTCTCAGAATTGACAAACGTCAGAATTCAAAGCGTGGGAAATATCTCCGAAAACGTGAGTCAAATGCCGTTTACCGCACTTGTTGCATAATATACTATAAGGTTGTTCGGAAAGTCATTTCGTTTTTTCCCGTCAGAGGACTTAATTACGTTTTTTCGAAACCAACTTCACACTTAAGCCGCATAACCATTATATGTCTTGAGAGCTGATATTGCAAGGCTTGTGTGTGAAAAAGTTCTATTAATTCTACGCAGTAGTTTTTGGTTGGTGCCCTTTTAAATATGGAGAGCAATAAGCAGCATTTTCGTCATATTTTACTTTTTTACTTCAGAAAAGGTAAAAATGCTGTCCAAGCGAGAAAAAAATTGACGGATGTGTATGGAGAAGGCGTGTTAACAGTACGCCAGTGCCAGAACTGGTTTGCAAAATTTCGATCCGGCAATTTTGATGTCGAAGATGCACCACGGTCTGGAAGGCCGGTCGAAGCTGACAAAGATGCGATAAAGGCATTAGTCGATGCAAATCGGCGAATAACCACAAGAGAGATCGGTGAATTCGACTGTTTATGGCCATTTGAAAGGCATGGGCTTAACCTCGAAGCTCGATGTGTGGGTGCCCCATATCCTTACGGAGCGAAATTTGTGTCGTCGCGTTGACGTGTGTGATTTGCTCCTCAAACGTCAAGAAAATGATCCATTTTTGAAGCGGATTATTACTGGGGACGAAAAATGGGTTGTATACAACAATGTTAAACGCAAGAGGTCATGGAGCAGAAAAGATGAACCGGCTCAAAGCGTGTCAAAAGCCAACATTCACCAAAAAAAGGTGATGCTCTCCGTTTGGTGGCATGTCAAAGGAATCCTTTTTTTTTAGCTTTTGCGGGACAATACAACGATTAATTCAGAAGTCTATTGTCATCAACTGGACAAATTGAATGATTCACTTAAAGAGAAGAGGCCCGAATTAATCAACAGGAAGGGTGTAGTGTTCCACCAGGATAATGCCAGACCTCACACAAGTTTGGTCACTCGCCAAAAACTTTTACAGCTTGAATGGGACGTACTGCAACCTCCACCATATTCTCCAGATCTGGCGCCTTCCGACTACTATTTGTTCCGGTCCCTGCAAAATTTTTTGGATGGCAAAACCTTTACCTCAAATGAAGATGTCAAAAACCACCTGAACCAGTTTTTTGCCAGCAAGGACCAAAACTTTTATGAGAGGGGAATTATGTTACTGCCAGAAAGATGGCAAAAGGTGTTGGACCAGAATGGCCAATATATAATTTAATAAAATATTTATTCATTATACGAAAACTGTCATTCATGTTCCCCAAAAAAAACGAAATGACTTTCCGAACAACCCAATATTTTCGAACTATTATCACCGGTAAGGCACTTTTAGGCGGCAATGTTAAATTGAAATTTATTTGTACTCGATTTATTTATATATTTGTAAAAAGATCATAACGCTCAATTTTTGTTTCTAACCAAAACTTTTTTGCAATAAAAAAGAATTTTTTTTCATCACTTTTCGAAATTTTTCTTCGAAGCTTCACTAAAATTTGGGTAAATTTTATTAAAGTTACTCAAAAATAAATCGACTCGATGGTTAAAAGCGACAAAAAATAACAAGAAGCTTAAGTGAGCCGTCTTGCCCCACCCACTCCTAAACGTATAAGTATTAGAAATTAGTTTTTAGTAAAAAACTAATGTAATGTATTAAAAGGACAACTGTGATGACTGCCAAGTGTTCAGTGTTCAAGATGAGAATTATAGTTACTTTCGTGTAGTTGTTGGCAAAACTAGTTCTTAGAAATTTAAAAATGTTTCTGAGTTATGGAGAAAAATGAGAAAATTTTTATTCTCAATGTGTTCCAAGCTTTTTGTCATCAAAACTCGATATGGGGAAGTTCAAAAATAGTAGAAACGTGTTCGAATGCGGCTGGGGATAGTAAAGGTATGGTCTGTTCATAAATATAATACGCGCCTCTCTCATTTAACCTACGCATTTTATTTGGAGGTTGCAATTGAACAAAAGAAAACTCAACGTGAACGTTTGTCGTTGATAAACCGTAATGACACGTCAAAATAACAGTCTATTTCGTTACTATGGATACCAATTCAAAGGCGACTGGGACTAAATTGAAGCAGCCTCGAAAGTAACTTCGGGTAGTGATAGCATTCCAATTTTTTTTATTCAGAAATTGCTTAGTCTATATTATAAAGCCGCTGATATACATAATGAACTTAACGTTTTGTACGGGTCAATTTCCACAGCAGTTAAAAACGGGCCAAGTAAAATGATAAAAAGTAAAAAGATAATGAGTGTATATACACTATTCTATTCTATACAAATATTGTGTAGAATTTATAAGTCTTTGCACAGTAAATTCAAAATACGTGCAGAGCTGCCATATTTGATGCGTCATCTGCCTCAAAAATTTTACGTCACAGTGATATTGTGATTTACATGAATAAATTAGGTCACAAACTACTTCAGTCAAATATAGTGAAGTATGAGGTTTTCCCGAAGTATCAATAGTTTCGTAAACAGGCGTTCGCCACATATTCAGTTGTTATTGTCAATGGACAAATTCACGCATTGTCCTAACAGAGAAGAAAAAGAAGAATATCTTGAATCTTTTCCTGGTTTAGATTTTAGATATTTTGAAGCAACGCAAATGATTTTTGCGGTTTCGAAACAAATTTCATTAGCAATTCGTTGATGACGGACTCGATATTTGAAATGATTTCCTCTTTTGGGATAAAACGTGGGGCAGGGACGAAGTTGGAAAACCTTTTGCAAAAACTGATTCTTCCGTGTCCGGTGCGATGATGCGTTTATCATAGTGTTTGGTAGTTGAGTAGGTTTCATGAAGATTTAAAGCTTTGTCATGAATAATGTTCAATATATATCAATATATAAGCAGGTATAGAGTAAAAGGCGAGCCATCTTCGGTTAAGCTCAGAAGAAGCCAATAGGTTGATTAGCGAAACGCAGAAGACTTGTAGATAACATTGAATGATGTTTTCTTGCCTCTTGTATATGTTGTGAATATTCGAAACCCACTTTCCAAACAATGCCAATTTAGGACTGCAAACAGTACCCCTTTTAGTTGCAATCATTAGGCCGAAGCAATTTATCTGCGAAAGTACTATACAGGTCCAGAAATATATTGAAAAGTAAACGACAGGTAGAAAAAGATATATTTTTTTATTTGATAATATTTTTTAAGCATACCGTTTACATATTACTCCTATACTTCGATGCTTGAATATCATCATTATACTTCATGTCAGTAACGAATACATTTTTCACACACGGAAACACAGACAACGCCACACGACAAAAGTAAACTAACCAAATTAGAACGCTGCAAAAAGGAAACGATGTTTTCAAACATTTTTTTTTGCTTTAATTTTTAGGAAGAAAATGGCACGTCAGTGCATGTCGGTGGATGAAATGGCCGACATCTTCTCTATTTTCGGGGCGTTCAGCGATGCTTACCGTTGCTTTTGGACTTTTTGACGAACGCCGCTTTCTGTATGACCCCCATAATCGCCTTCTTGGGGGAATTCTCAGTGATGGTGTAAGTCCTACCGTTCCCTATGACCAGTAGCGGCTGTTGGGACACCGCCTCCTCCGATCTGTGATTGCTCAAGTTCACGTCGTGAACGAGTCGCAGAGATCGCGACTCACGAACCGTGGCTTGCCCGATCTGCAAAAAAAAACCACGCGCCATTTTGAAACGGCAAAGGCAATTTAAATTTTGATTAAAACAATTTAAATTTTCGACTTTTTCGAAAGGTTCAATTCCCGTACTCGGCGCCGAAAAGTTCCGGACGTTATAATTGCAAATTTTTCGTGGAAGTGGCGGGGGGGTGGGAGGAGTAGATCGCCGGAAAGTTTTGAAGTGTTAAAACAGGTTTTTTCCGTTGGCAATTTATTTCGGGGAGTGATTTTAATTATAAAATTTAATAAATAACTTGTTTTTGAGAGAAGGATGAATTAATCTTAAATACAAAAATGTCGACGAAGTAAAAGAGACCGCATAATAATAATAATAATAACAATAATAATAATAATAAATGCTGTGTGGGGTCGGCATATAAAAGAATAATCCCACAGTATCCAACCGCTTGTCGTAAAAGGCGACTAAAGGAGGCAGCGGTCCGCTGACCTACACATAAAGCTATCCTTTCAATCCACAACAAATCCCCTATACTGCCTATAAAACCTTAATCCTTCCCTTCAAGTTTCCCCATTAATATGCAGATAAATATAAATCGCCTCGGAAAACCAATGATCAAAGTTTTTAATGTTTTAAAAAAATAAATATTGCAAACCTTGCAAATAACGGCTATTTTGTATTTGAATTTAAGATCTCACAAATTTTAATTATACAAACTTCAGAAATAACGATAAAAAGATTTGTTAAGGGACATATTTTTTAGTATCATCAATGTAAATGTAAATGACTGTCGAATATTCACTTCTCGCGAATTAAAAATCCTTTTTAATTAAAAAATTGCAACGCTGTAAAGTGTGTTCACTTCATATCTAATCCTTTCTGTTTAATTTTAAGAAAATCGTTAGTGCCTTTCAGTGAAATCTATCCAACAAAAAAAGATTTATCAAAATTAAGCCATAAACAAATATTCCACAGGAGTAATGTTTAAGCGAACTTCACGGAAAACAGTATAGTTACGAGGGCAGCGCCAAAATTTCCCGGCCTGAATATGAAAGAAACAAAGTAGAGTAATAATTTTTTATTATTTTTCAATATATTCCCCCTTAACTTCAATACACTTAATACATCTCTTTATTGACAACTCAATCCCTTTAAAAAAATATTCTTTTGGTTTGTATGCAAAATGAGCTAAAACAGTCTCTTTTAACTCAACTTTCTTTAATAATTTTAGGTGCTAACCCTTCTTTGGTCAAAAACTTTATGACTGCTCTATACTCAATCAAAGAAGACAATGTTTTATCGCGATACTGGAGCTGCATCTATGTCAGGCCTGGAAATTTTGGCGCAAACCTCGTAGGTTTCATGTAGTCCTGAATAAGCATTCGTTGATACTTCATCCTGAAAGAAATCCCTAATAGCCCTACTTGATATTTGATATCAAAAATTAGTCCCAGTCCCATAAGGTTTTAGCGCATATTTCCGAGACGTATCTAACAAAAAAAAATATCAAAATGTAACCATAAACAAAGACTTTACAGGGGTGTACATTTCGTAAGTGGGACACACTGTATAAAAAGAGAAGAAAAAGAAAAATACAACACCATAACATACATACAAATTAGGCAGTTAGATCAGTGTTAACGCACACACAGAGAGGGATGGCTTGATACCAGCTAGCAAAAGACGGGAAGGAGAAAAAGAAGACTCTCAATTTCCTTTTTGTATATTTAAACTTGACAATGTCGATACTAACATTGTCCACGTTTGCCAAATAATGTATCGCCCGTTCGCTGGTTATTATCACGCCCCAGTAACTCCTTTTGAATCTAAATTTACATCTTGTTCGCTGCGGCGAAGATTAAATCTCCCGGGGCTGGCGAAGAAGTGAGCCGGGATCGATTTTTAATTAGCCAACGCACAGGTTTAAATGATTTCAAAGCGACGTAGCTCTCCAGTCCGCCTGTCGGCTTTACCGAAGGGACGGAGTGGTTGTTGGTTCAATTTCAATTGCGTTTCGAGTATCTCGAAGGGTCTATTCATCGGTCATGCCGAAACCCAACGTCTGCTATTGTCTACTAGATTTGGAGCGACAACTAACATTTCCGGCAGGATTTATAAGATACATTTTATAACAGTTTTTATGATTTTTACATGACAAGGCACCTAATAAACATAGCTACTATAAAACCAAAAGATTGTTGTAAAAACTTATAGATTAGTAACCTTAAAGATTTTGATTTTTTTTTGTTTTGCGTATATTTTTGATTTTGTCTTGAATAAAATTTATTTGTGCAATTGCAAATTGTTAATTCTAAATGTTATCTAGATATTTACAACTCTTTTGAGAAGATAAACAACAACACCTGAGGTTATGACGTTGGTTGGTTTTTCGGTTACTTTTAATCATATACCGCTTACGATGGTTGGTATAAATAACTTTTTGGTACCTTATAAAAGGTATAAAAGTACATTTTTTTAAAAAATTATATGACGGGCATTTTCATGTTTTTTAAAATTTACATAAATAGCTATAAATAAAAAATATAAAAAAACTCCATAGTTTTTAAATTATAATATAAACTTAGACATTTTCATAATAATATCAAAATAAAAACCCATTGCTGTCAACTTAAGAATCAAAGCAATGATAAGCAATGACAAGAGCGTAAAATAAATTATATTGTAAACAATTAATACAGAAAAAGATGAATGTCGTAGAATATCCAGAATTTAACAAGAAAACAACTAACATAATAAATATCAGTCTTTAAGTCCACCTAAGTTCACAATGTGATTTTAAACTGATCAAAGGGGGATAAATGAAAAAAAAAGAAAGAAAAAAATAAAGAGAGAAAAAAGCAGACACTCGAAAAAAGCAAGGACAATATTCAATTCAATATTCAAAAAATATAAAATTGGTTAGTACCCTTTCATAGAGGGCCTTACGACAAAAATGGCTTTTGTGCCAAACTGTATAACCAAACTAATATCTAGGTCACTCGCTTGTTCTGAGAACTCTAGTCAAGCCTTTCAGTTCTACAGGTAAAGTCAGTTTATAGACATAAGAAAGTGAGTAACTGATACGAATTAAGGAAAGACCCGGGCTAGCTATAAAAATGAAATATGGCAGAACAGGTCCGTACTCTGCTTAGAATTTAATTATTTGGGGTTTTGTTAGGAAAGATACTAAACAATATTTATTTATTTATGTATTTATGTTCAAATCTAAAAGAAAATTACAAATTATTTTTATTACCTACTTAAATTACGATTTTTCTGCTTTTTCTATAAGTTTAACAGAATTTGCCCAATTTTGTGGAGGGATGTTAAAAACTTCGGTTTCTATATGTTTGAGGACATTTTAGTTAACATGGGGAAAAATATTGTTAGGACGAATGGCAGATTTCAGTTGGTGCCAAACATGTTCAATGAGATGAAATATACAGTTCTGTAGCATTTAACACCAGTTTCATCTTTTTCCAGCCTCCTAATTAAGATATCTAATGTAGGCACGCTTTGTTCCTCGTATAGTGGTGAATTTTACGCCGTATTATATCTTGATCACTTTCATCTACACTCGAGAAAATGTCAGCATCGCTTCTTTTTTTCCTCGCTGAAATGGGATTATTTACAATTTTTCATGTAGTTGATGTTGGAATTTTCGTCAATGTGGCCGTTTCTTCTAAAGATGCTTGCTTGCTGGCACCACGTTCAATGAGAGTCAAATAAACATTGTTTATAACTTCCTTAGTCTCAACAGAATAGTGTTTTCTACATTGGACGGGAGCATCTCCTGAGATACACTAGACTCGCACATATTTTGGATAATTCGCACACGATTCCACACACGAAATAAGAATGATCACTAGTAAACTTAAACTAAGTAGTATACCAAACCAAAGAAAATTAAACACAAGTAGGTATAAAATTATTTTCTATTACGGACCATAATTTTACTTGAATTTAAATTCCAAAACTTTAGGTAATAATCTTGTTCCATTGTATATGTTAATGAGCACCCTTGTCAAAAGCAATTGGTCACTTTCTTATATATATGAACAGACCATACATTCGAGTGCCTCTACCTCTGCATAGAGGTACATACTGAATTGAAGGAAGTAAGGCATCTTCGGAATTTCTAAAATTACGTTTCAGTCGTAAAGTGTAATGTACTACACATTACTACAAATATTTTTATTACTAACAACTTCTTTACATTGTCGCAATCTATTGCATATGCTTGCAACTTGCATTTGGTCCTTCAACTGTTCATGATTATGTTGTCTCTTCCTTAAGATGAATACACCGTTCTCTTTAACTTTTCCTGATGCTTCCTGCTTCCTGCAATAACTCGAATATACATATAAATAAATTTAATATTGTTATAAAATACGACGTTTTTGCATTAAACATGCAAAATGCCTTTTTTGTGAACTACTATAAAATATTATATCAATTTTACCTCGTACCGTGACACCTTCTGCATAAATAATACATAAAGACGTCCTGAAAAACTATTAACTGAATTCCTGTTCAAAAAAAGTAATATAATTTTAACTTAGTAAGAAAAATCATTTCAAATAAGTTTCAAACTTGATATCCCTATAAAAATCGCTGGTTCTAACCTAAACATTCTGTCACTCGATCACGTATACGTCACGTCTCAGCTGTTGGCGGATCTATTGTTACAAACCACCGCCCCGACCGAAGCCGAACGCCGTTCGGGATTTTCGGCCATTTGAACATTCGTTCGTTTGCTACCATCTCCAATTAAAACCGTAGATGCGGATTCGTGCGGAGTCGTAAGTCGTAAGAACCATCGAAATTACTGGAGCGGATTTCTTCCCGAGAATTATCCAGTCTAACCGGATTATGGGAATTTATTCAGAGTCGAGTGCGCGGACTTAAATTCTTAAGAGTTTGTGTGTGTGTGTGTGTGTGTGTGTGTGTGTGTATGCGCGTCGTGAATAATGCAGATTTCGTACGGTCCATTTGGCGGAAATAATGGAGGAACTCGCTTAATAGGA